AATCAGGAGGATTCAAATCTGTACTGGTCTCAACCTCACAATATTAGAAACCATTCCACAGAGCTGAGAGACCTCCCAAATTATTGAAATGGATGTCTTTCAACTGTCTTTCAGACTGGAAACCCAATTCTAATCAGGGAACAACAACATATGAGTCACGAACATGCAATAAAATAGTAACTCAGGTTTGAATTTCAAATGTCCAGGTTATATTTTGTGTGAATAAACCACTGGCTGATAATTATTCAGCAAATAATTTTGACCAAATTAGTTTGATAAGGGTTCACATATTCAGACAGCAAAAAAGGTGGAATTGGGTAAGCTACTATTCACAAGAATAACTGGTTCAGCTCTGGTGTTCTGATTTAAGCTTCCAGCTTTGATCTATCTAGTAAATTTCACAGAGCTCCAATTAGAACCATTTATTGTACCATGACCTGAACTGTAATTAGCTGCATACAGTTCCAAATCAAATGGAAAATGAGGGCTGATGGCCATTGATGGAACTAATTTGAACACTGTTGTTCTTTGCAGCTTAATATCCTGCTGTTCCTTTGTGCCAAACCATTTTTAAAATATATAATAAAACTTTTTAAAGAGCCCTTTCACACATACAAGAGCACAGCATCTATCCTAGTACTCTTAGAGAAGACATTTGGTATGAAAAATTCCCTATGTTTATTTTAGGCAGGGGGAAGAAAAGTTATTTCTCCCTTTCTTTCTTTTTACATCACAATAGCATTTTACCATCCGTTTCCCCCAGAGCTATGACAGTTATGTTTTAATCACTTCCAAATGCAAACAAGAGCCTGCAATGCCTAATCCAGTCTTGTTCTGAAACTTAGGGAAACAGGCAAAGAGAGATTAAAGCAACCATTTTTGTGGAGACAAAGAAAAGATATCAAGCATCTTTTCTGAGGTGCTTTCCTGCCCCCAAACTCTGTTTTTACACTACTAACATGAGGCAAAAGGCGAGTACACGGCTAACTACCTCTCTCAACTAACAAAAGTGGGAGACCAGACAAGCGTGACAAGAAAGGGAACGAGTAGGGAGACTGAAAGTATCCTAGACATATCTACTTTTCTGGCAGACAAGAAAAACAGAGAAAGAAGTAACATATTATACTAACATATATACATATATCAAGATGGATAGATGGATAATACGGTAAATTAAAAAAAAAATCCACACACTGAACTATAAATCTCACCTTGACCGTAAGCTATTCACTGGCGATTTTTTATTCTAAGAACTGTGGGGCAAACACCAACTTCCTGTTCTGTGTTTGTACAGCACCTAGCACAATTGGGTTCTGGGTCCATGACTGGGGGTCCTGGGCAACTTAATAGCAAACAGTAATAAAAAGCTCAGTTAACCATCAAAATACAGAACAAAAAGACGACTGCCTCACACTTTCATTTGGTTACTGAAGTACCTTCCCATGTAAGGGATTTAATTCCTTAGCAGCCTCTCAGTTTCACACCAAGGTAGTGCTCAAAATCTTGTCCTGCTATGCTGCTGTACAAATGCCCACCTTCAGTTACATTTGTGTGTAACTAATGAATGTTTAAAAATAAATATGGTTTTCATCTCTTTCTCTTTCTGATAGGACAGCCCATGGTTCCTATACTTTTTGGCTAGGGACAGACTTTACACATAAACTAGTTTAAGTGATCAGAAAGTGGCTTAAATATGTAAAAGAACAAATGTTCAGTGCACAGAAACCAGTATGAAAGTGGCTAAAACCAGTTTGAGATAAACCTGGTTGAATGTAGTATCAGACATAACTGATTTGGCTCAAACCGGTTTATGCAAAATCTGTCCCAGACCCCTTCCTGGTTTAACTTAAATCAGAGTCCCCCAGAATCCCAGATGCTTTGCAGCCCTGGACGGGGCTCCGAGCTCCAGCCAGGAGAGCTGGCCCCATCCCTCTGCTCCCTGACTGGAGCTCTCCTTCTGACCCCCCAAATCCATCCCACTACTCCATGCTCAAGCAAGGATTCCCTTCTCTTGTCTCACCCAGCTTGGACGTAGCCAGCATGCGGTATGCAAGCTAATGCTGAGAGGTGTCTGTAAGGCAGACAGGACAGTGTCTACTTAGGGCTTTATGGAGCTAATTAACAGGTCAGCTGGTAATGTCCCTCCATTCCTTCCTTGGAAAAAGTTGTTTAAGAAGAGCTTGAACTAATGAGAGAGGCGTTTGTTTTCTGATGGGCTGATAAATGCTGTGTTATCAACTCCCTCCTGGGCTGGTAAGGAGCAGCAGGGGGGTGGGGGCGGGGCTCCCTAATCAGAGTGTCCTACACCACCTCAGCTCACGACTGTAGAAAGGAAGGGAAGGCTGCTCTAGTGCTCCCTGCCTTCTAGCCTGAGCCACTGCAGCCATGTGCCTGCATTTCATCAGTTTGTCAGTTTCAGTTGCAAACTGGTTCAGCTTAGCCAGGTTAGACTAACATGCAAAGATTAAACCAATTCAGGCTCCGGCTTTTTGAATGTCTGTCCCTACCCTTTGGGACCAAATTTTCCAGTGCCTGAGACTGAATATAAGCCTACTCTTATCCAATAGCATTTTATGCCTACATTGTGCAAGCGTAATAAACTATTAAGCTGGGCGCGTGAAGGGAAACAGGTATAAGGTCCTGATTCTGCAATTAAAACTAAGCATTTGGATTGCATGTGCCTATGAGGCACTGTGGTTCAAGTTTTCACCCTCTCTCTATTTTGGTCATGGGATTTTTTTTTAAACTGAAAATAGAACATAGCTAATGGACTAAGACTCAAAAGAGCCACTGTAGACTAGACTGTAAGTGTTCCATTTGGCATTAAATTCAACAGCCAAATTCCTATTGCCTTCAACTCACCTGATTTTACCTTGGACTGCATGCATCAGAGACTGTGCATCATTCATTTCTTATGACTACTCTGCTTTATAGTAAGCTTTGCCCAAGTTTTTGGAAGGCTTACTGAGCTTGGCTATTTACCATCATGAAAATACAAAGTTTAAATCCAAAACTTGTTCAAGAAGAGAAGTTAAAGAAGATGCTTGCACATAGATTTAAGAGAGAATTTGGAAGCCCTCCACCTATGTGGTGATGTTCCTACTGCACAGGTATATCAAGAGCTTTGGTTCTTCTTCTCCTATGAATACAAGCACAAGGAAGGGGAGGAGTGGGTATGCAGGGTGGAGGATTCAAAACTGACACAAGGAAATGCTTTTTAGGCTATGTACAATTACACTGTGGAACCCATTTGAACTCCTTGCCACAGGAAGTGCTTGATGCCAAGAGCTCAGCAAGAACCACAAAGGGGTAGAAGGTTTATGATAAAAAACAATTTCATGGATGGGAAATAACAAGATTTGTGTTCAGAGTATAAGCCACCTCTAAATGTAAAAGACTAGATGAAATCCTATGAGAACATATGGGGAAGAAAATTAGTTCACGTCTGTCTACTACTCATTTCTTGTTCCCTTCTGTGAAGTTTCAGGTACTGTCTGTCACATGGCACTTACAACAAAATCATAGAAAAGTGGGGATGGAAGGAACCCTCAAGAGGTCATCTAGTCCAGTGGTTCTCAACTTTTAGATTCAAGGCACCCCTCCATAACCTTTGTGAACTGAGTGGTACCCCATTTCAAAAACTCCATTTATTCATTACACTGCTTACCTTTTTGCAGAGGGGTCAGTCAGTGGGGGCAAGGAAGCAGCCAGGCAGGGAAAGCAAGCATCTGCCCTTATCTGTTTATCTCTTCACATTTCCTGCAGCACTCTTCAAAGGATCTTGCAGCACCCAAAGGTGCCCTGCCATCCTGACTGAGAATCACTGATCTAATCCAACTTCATGCTCAAGGAAGGATCATCCCTATTCAAGATACCCTATGCAAGTGTTTGTTTAACCCAGGGCTGTCCAGTATATGAGTGACCATCAGTGAAACACCCCATTGCTACCTTCTCTGCCAGACACATTGCCCCATAGCACCCCTAGAGGCTGGCAGGAAGTGAAAGATGGAAGAGGCAGATATAGCCCAGGGCTGTGGGGGAAGGTAGTGGCAACAGCTACAAAAGCAGGAAATGGAGGGAGGCTGAAAGGACCAGTATCCAAACCCATGAGGGAAAGCATAAGGAACCAAGAATGCATGGGTGACAGAAGCCTACGAGCTACAAGTTAAACACTTACGGGCTACCAGCTGAACAGTCCTAAACTGGTCTAAAAAATTACACAAACAGCCCCGTCATACAATTACCAGGCACAATGCCCCAAAACACCAAGAACAACCTAATCAGGTACAGCAGGGGAATGGGGGCACTGCCAGTCCACATGTTGCTGCAAAGACAGAAAGTGGCTGTTAAAAATACACTCAAGAGATCCAAGGAAGAGGACCAAGCCCCTTGCTAAAGGGGTTCCTATATTACTATATTTTCCATGATCAGATCTGGCCTGAACCCCACCTTCCCCACATGGAGGTTCAAAAGCAGCCCTCCTCTGCCTTACAGAAATGGGGGGACACTGCTGGGATTCCATAATGAAAGTCTGTGCAGAGCCCTTTAGCAATGGCAGAATTTCAAACTGAAAAATACTATTTCTCGCCTACTTTGTCTCTGATCTTTCATCTCTTCAGTCTCTTTTCCCAAAACCTGATAAACTTCCCAAACTTGTTTTCCCCAGTACCATAGTTGCTGCGAGCCTGATCTTTTATGTTGAGGGGAAGAGCATTAACATCGCTGGTAGATTCAAGCTAAACTTTCCCCTACACTTCAGTGTTAAGAAGGATAAGATTGCTACCTTCATCTTCTCCCCTTTCCTACCTTAGGTGCTTTTCTCATCTCTAGTGCTATTGGCCTCATTTCCACCAACCCTGTCCTTGTAAGTGACTTCACTGTCCAGGACATCCTTTTCAGTCACACCTCTAACAAATCCCTAGTTTTGCAAAAGATTACATAGAGCAAGTTAAAGATACTTACACAAAAATAAAAACAGAAGGTAAGTGTCTGCATCCTACCTTGATCAGCTCCTTGAACTTGGGATCTTCTTTGGAGTTGGGGTCGATCATAGTGCGTTCCTCATTTTCCTCTGCCCATTTAGAAGGAGAAGCGTTAGTTAGAGCCATGTCCTGTGTACACTGCCAAGAACACCACAGGACTGTTATTTATAAGCCAGTCTCAAAGCTGATTAAGAAATGGCATAGTCTAGTCATTGTCCTACTGAGGGGACTATCCAGTGATCAAAGTGTGAGGCATTCTTTAGTGATACACTGACTGTTTCATTGCCCTAACTTCCCTAAACAAAAGTTGCCTAAACTGACTTTTCACAGGTCACACTGCTTAGTGTCAGACTGTAATGGGCACATCATGTGGGGTCTTTGAGGACAGTAACCATGTCTCCCTCCCTACAGGGCTGAAGATGTCAGTGGTGCTCAGCCCATCATAATACCCACCTCTTTTCTTCAGTCATCAATAAGAATCAATATGGCCAAATTAAACTAGTCTGAAGAGCCCTGCAAACTCAGTGCACTGCCTTCTATCAATAGGGGGAATGTGGTATTAGAATCATTCTCCATTCTCCTGCCAACTGCATTTTTCATATTCTGGTACCAAAATTTCTAACTGGTAAGAACTGTCTGTGCTTATGCTGCCTCTACTGCCCATAAAACTTAGTCAACAGCTCCAGCAAAATCACTAAGGAAATGGACTAGGAATTAAATCAAATTAATCTGTGAATCAGGCAAATGCCCTGGGCATCCTCAGAGGTGTCCCTTCTGTTGCCAAGGGGCTGAAAGGTAGACAATACTGAAAAATACTATTTTACTTTTTGCCTCCAAAGACCAACAGGACAGGTGCTACTTAGGGCAAATGAAAGAGAATAAACAAAGAGTAAAGAGAAAACAGAACAGGAAGTGGCATGGTACATGCTGAAGAGAACAAGGGAGACATAAAATGGGAAGTCAAATGCGGCAAAACACAGAAGGCAGAGGTTGGGGCAGACCTAGTAAGGCAATGTATCAGAACTGGGAACCAGCTTTAGTTCCCTCTGAGCAGTGTTAGCACTGCAGCCTCTTGGCAAGGGAGTATGTACAGTGTGTGCATCTCTGCAGAATTTCCAGGGTCAATGGAAAGTAAACTCTCAGCAGACTGTGGGGGCAGATCTACCTTGTGCTTTTCAACAACACCTGAAGAACAGAAAGTGGCAGCAGAAAGAGATGAAACAAGGAAAGGGAAAATCAAAAAAAAGAGGAGGAAGAAAAAAGGCAAATAAAAAATAAAGGAAGCAAAGAAAAGTAAGGGCAGAGAGAGAATTAGGAATGAACAAGTTAATTTTAGATGGGATACCTGTATTTGAGGTTTCAGCTACCAAACCAACACTTTGTCAGATCAGCAACCAAAAGAACTCAAACAAAGCTTGTTGATATCTTTTAATTCTGCTCCAAATGGACATATACATGTCCACATTGGACATGCTCATGCACACAATTCTACCCGAGACAAAGATGGGGAAATACAAGGAGTTTGGTGGGCCAACTCTGGTACAGAATTTTAAATCCTAATGCTCAAGTTCCCACAACAAAGGCCTCAGCTTCTCCCCTTTTCTCACATTAACCTCTTTTGTTGCTCAAGTGACAGATATGATCTAGTTCAGAAGTTTCCATAACTTTCATCCAGGACACAAGATTTAATCTGTCAATTTAAGCAGCCAAACCTGTTTGGGGTGCCTTGATGTGCAAATGAAAGAGGACCGAGTAACTCCCAGCACTTAGTAGGCTTTTAGAGCTGGCCACTTGAATGGCAGTATCATGATCACAAAAAGAAATGCTGATGGGCTGCCACCCAGCTGGTGTAGATATGAAACTCTGTGCAATCAATTCAGGGTTAAACCTACCTAAACTTCTGGCTAGGGGCTTTAAAGGATCTATCAGCCGCACAAACCGCCTGAGATTATAAAATTCTTGTAATTTTTTTCCACAAACCTAGAAAGGCAGCTTCTAATTCTTTAGTTTTTCAGTTCCTTTTGGCATTCTACTTCCTCATGGGATGAGTCAAGCTGTACAGCACTAAATTACACCCAGTCCACACTCAGAAGCTGAAATCTGGTAGAGAGGTCTGCCCCATGCAAGTGCACCACCCCTTTTTCAGAGAACCCTGACCTAGATCAGCTAGTGATCATGCTTTTCCCATGAGGGTCACAATGAAGTGGCTCCTCAAGCCTCTGAAATCCTTCTCAGGTCCTCTTACGCCCCTTTTAAAACTGATCAAAAGTGCAGAGAAGGACTCTGTTTTGGCTCTACATACAAAAGTCTAATGGGATACTTGGTTTGCTTGAGTATCTATTTTCAGGGGGGAATGCATGGGATAGGATCAAAACTTTAGATATCAAGGCATGAGAGCAACCAGACAGAATCAGACCAATCTTCTAGCTAATCTATAGAGATGCACTGATATATCAGTCCATATTGGATCTGCACCAATAAAATGAAAATTGATATTATCAGCAATCAGCTATTTTTGGCAAGTGTAAACGATAACGTAACTGATAAATGCTGTGTACATGCATTCAGCTGCAGCATGCATACGGCCAGGAATGCAGCCTGGCAGCTTGGAGAGCAGAGTCTGGCCAGTAAGTCTGTGTGTGTTGGGGGGGGGGGAATGGGGGAGGGGGAGCAGATCATGATCCCCACAGTGAGGAAAGGAGTGGGACGGGGCAGGCGCTGCCCAGCCAGGGTGGGGCAGGGTGCAGGACGGAGCTGCGGGTGGCTCGTCTGGGAGGTGAGGAGGGAGGATGGCTCTCCGCCATTGTGCACACTCCCAGGGGTGGCATGGGGGACATGTGCCCCCCAGTTTTGTGAATGGGGTGAGGGTGGGCTGCCTGCTTCAGGCTCAGGGCCAGGGGCTGTGCTGGCCTCTTTCTGGCAGGGGGGCTGGGCTGGGGTCTGCTCTTGGGGTGGGGCTGGCAGGGGCAGGCCAGGCAGTGGCAGTGCTGGGAGGGAAGAGGCTACAGGGTGGGATACAGCCACCCCAAAATTCACCATAGCCCCCCACCCCACTCCCAGCACTGCTGCTGCCTGCCCCACCTCAAGCCTATCCCCAGCCCAGCCCACCCACCGGAAAGAGATCACAGTCTTGGCTCCAAGTCTGCAGCAGGCAGACTGCCTACGCACAAATCCGGGGAGGGGCACATGCCCCATGCCTCCCCCAGGCTGTACACAGCAGTGGGGAGCTGCCCTACCT